CCTTAACCCTAATCCCCAAACCCTGACAGCCTAACACCCTGCAACCTAAACCCTACACGTCTAAACCTCTAAAACCTAAACCCGACACGCCCAAAAAAAACGCAAAACCTACTAAACCCTGAAGCCCTAAACCTTCAAAGCCCATCCCAAAGCTGCCCCACTAGGGCCGCGACTACCCAAGCAGCCCGGGGCCGCCGGGCCAGCAGCGGGAAGCCGCCTGAGGGATTTCATGCGGGTGGTTCACTAAATTAGGGTCCCTTTTGCAGGTTTAGGGTTTAGGGTTTAGGGATAAGGAATCTATAAGGGTTTCTAAAAGGGCACTTCATGGGTTCTACCTCGGTAGTTCTCTAGATAAGCGTCCCTTTGGGATCCTTTGGTGCCGTACTATTTTTGGGGACCTAGAAAGGGACCCTGATTTAGAGAACTACCCATGTAGAAGCCTGAACAGCTCAACTGTTTGGGGGATCCTATAGATGAAAAATGTATAAACCCTAAACCCTAAACCCTAAACCCTAAACCCTAAACCCTAAACCCTAAAGGACGGCAGGTATTGTTCAGCTCTTCTGGCCAAGAAAAGCTCTACAGGCAATTTTGGCTCTGTAAACCAAAACCCGACGGATGGTTTAGGGTTTAGGGTTTAGGGTTTAGGGTTTAGGGTTTAGGGTTTAGGGTTTAGGGTTTAGGGTTTAGGGTTTAGGGGAGGTTCCGTGTAGAAGGAAGGCTATAACCCTCAACGGTAAGGCTCCCCACGGTCAGGGTTTGCGTAGGGCTGCAGGGGTTTACGGGTGTAGAGGCTTAGGGCTTCGGGGTTTCAGGCTGTTTACTCTTTTGGGGGATTCAGTTTAGAACGTTCTTGAGGACGTGGCCTTCCGGATCTGCAGGGTTTTGGGGGTTGGGGCCGCAGGTTTTAGGCGTTTTGGGTACGTTCTTTGACCCAAAAAACCCAATGCTAAGACCTGGACGCTGCTAGGCCTGGACCCGAAGTCCAAACCGAAAGCCTATGTGCTTGTTGCCCTGCGGGGCATGCTTTGCTGGGTGCCTCGGGGCGTGGGGTTTGGGGTGGGGTGGTTTAGGTCGGAGCTGAGGTTTCTTGGGGATCTGTCTTTCGTTCTTCGTGGTGTAGGGCTTGGGCATTTAGGCAGCAAAGGGTGTAAGTTTTGAGAGGTCAGTCTTTTCGGGCCATGATTTCCTCCAGCACTGTTGAGGCCTCTGAATCCCACAATGCCTGAGATCGCAGGGGGTCCATGCTGGCAGATGCTCTTGCCCCTGCAAGCCCTGAGGAACCCATTCAAAACTCAAGAGCTGCAAAACTCCGCAGACGCATAACAACGAACAGCCATAGGACGAGGGCGTAGGTTTCAACACCGTAAAACCTAAGACCCTGAATTCCGAAACAACAAAGTTCATCTGCAAAGCTTCTCAAAGCAAGTCCGCAGGCCACCAGAAGCTGGCTTCTGCAGCCAGCAAGGCCGTGCATGCTTCAGCGAAGAGCGGGTTGCTGGGCTTAGGGATCAGGGCTTAGGGTTTAGGGTTTAGGCCCTGGCATGATCCAGCTAAAAAGGAGGCCTTAGATAACAAGTAGAAGCGGGTCTGGGGGGGCACTTGGCACGATAATCATACTTGTAATAGAGAACCCTAAGGACTAATATGTGAGTAGCTATCCGGGCTCCTAAATTACACTATTAAGGGGACGTCTTTCTGATTTTTACTAAACCCTAAACCCCAAACCCTGTAGTCCGTTGGTCCTGTCTTCACTGCTTTTGACAGCAACCCTGGGGTCAGAAAGCAAAGTGGATTTAAGGCTTAGGCTTTCGAGTTTGGTTAGGGTGTAGGGTTTCGTACTTAAGGTTTAGCATTTGGGGATTCAGAGGTTTAGGGTTTAGGGGTTTTGGGGTGTAGGGTGTGGGACTTAAGCTTTAAAGCTTGTAGTAGGGTAACCGGGAATACTATAAGTGTAGGGGCCTTAATAGGTAGAATAGGGATCTGGGGGGGTTCCTTATCATAGTTATAGTATAATAGACTCCTAAATTGGTTTTTGGAGGCTTTTGGTGTAGGGGTTCAGG